ATTCTAAGACTCTTTCAACAAGTTGTTTGATGAGATATGTTCCTTCTGTGAGTCTACATAGCCATTATTTCTTCTAAGTGCGACTCAAAAGTACATTGCATTCTGACGTCCCCGAGTCGTTTTTGAAGGTTGTAATTGAAGCCAGTTTATGTCACATTTATATTACAAAGTAAACCACCTTGCTGATAACAACATTGATTTGTTTGCTTTGGCATGAAGGTGACGGGATCATATTCTTAAATGTGTAAAAGTTGCTATGATGTCAACCTGTAATTTTTCTTTCCCAATTTTTCTTTCAATTTGTTTTGAATTTCATCCTTCCTCTTGCAGGTTCTGCATTTCAGCTGAAAACACATAAATTGATTTGTTTTCCTCCTCCAATGTTACAGACGTGTTTTCAAAATTGTAGACGGTACCATCCTATTAAAATTCAAGATTTGTTATTTTTATATAAGAACATTAACTTTTCCAGTGGAGGCCAGTAAAAACACTGCATCTTTATTGTGGTCAACCGGGTGGGTGCCTGCTGCACGCGGGAACCCATCACCATACTTCAGAGTATCTGGAGTTTAACCAGCTAAAACAATATAGCTTGCCATTGAGAGCACTGTCGGGGATGGGGGTGAAATTCACTGGTCTGTGAAATGACTGCTTTATCAGTTTGTTTTGGGGGGAAATCCCTTTACAAGCAACCAGAACTAACCTCTGTGGGTTTAATCAACCAGTTGAAATGTGCGCTCATTAGTCGAACCATTTAATTATTTTTCAGGCACGATTTGGTTGTTCCACCATGCCTTCCCAAGGCTCCCAAGTGTATTGACCTCAATAAGCAACAGACTTTGCTGATAAAGGGAGGGAGACAGAAGGGATTCAAAAACTCCTGCTCATAAAAATTCTACAAGTAAGAAGTTTCTACTTGGTAATATTACAAGGTGGTGGGGATCTTTAACACGTTTTTTTAAAAAGCTACATTTCAGGAACTTGGTCTTTCAAGGATGCATTGTATTATTAATAACACTAATAATGATAGGTCTTGCATTCGATATAGCACATTGTCAAGACGCCTCAAAGCACTTGACAGGATTTTTGTTTGTAAATGAATACTGCAGCAAATTTGCATGCAGCAATTTCCCACAAACAGACATGAAGTGGGTGACCAATTTTATCTGGGGGATTTTTGGCCAGGAAATCGGGAGAAACTCCCTTCTCTTTTCGAAACTTCATTTATCTATGAATTTCTGTGCCAGTGCATCCCACTCTTAACAACAACAACAAGATTTCATTTATAGAGCGCCTTTCACGTCATGAGGACGTCCCAAGGCACTGGACAGTTGGGTCAAGACCCGAGCAGGGGGGAAATGGTCAGGGTGAGGGGAGGGAAGGGACTCTTTGTTATCCCTAATAATGTCTCCTCGTTCTGAATCATCCATATGCAACCCTTTATTTGAAACACTTCAATTACATCAACCGTAACCTCCCCAACTTTAAGGACCAACCATTTTACCACTCCCACCAACCCCATCTCCCTCAGCCAGCCACCAATGCTTGGATCAGAACCATCAATGTTTTTCACTTGAAATAAACAGTAGGCCTGTTTCCCTGGACCCATCCCTATTCTCCAGCTACCACCCCATCTCTAACCTCCCATTCCTCTCTAAGGTCCTGGAATGAGTCGTTGCATCCCAGCTCCACTCCTTTCTCTCTCGCCATTCCTTTTGAACCCCTCCAATCCGGCTTCCTCGCTGCCCACAGCACGGAAACAGCCCTGGTCAAAGTCACTAATGACATTCTGAACATCTGTGATCAGGGCTCGCTCTGTATCCTTGTCCTCCTCGACCTCTCTGCCGCCTTCGACACTGTCAACCACTCCATCCTCATACACCGCCTCTCCTACTTACTTAATCTTTGTGGACCTGCCCCTGCCTAGTTCGATTCCTATCTCTCTCACTGTCTCCACTTTATTGCCTCTAACGGTTTCTGCTCCAGCCCCCGCACTGTCACGTCAGGCGTCCCCCAGGGCTCTGTTCCTTGGCCCTCTCCTATTTAATATCTACATGCTTCCCCCTTGGTGACATCATCCGCAGACATGGGGTTAACTTCCATATGTATGTGGATGACACCCAACTCTCTTTCTGCCTCCACCCTCAACTCCAGGACCACTGCTGTCCTGACAGACTACCTGTCGGACATCAAGTCCTGGATGAGGGCAAACTTCCTACAGTTGAATGTGAACAAGACTGAGGCCCTCCTGATTGGCTCACGCCAGCGCCTCTGCACCTCCTGTACCGTTATCTTGGAAATCCTTTCTGTTGTGACCCTAATGGTTACTTGTGCAGAATTGAACATTCATGTTTCTCCATCTCCACCCCCCCACCGCATCCCCCCACCCCCCCCCTTTCCTGCTCAACAATGTTTTGTCATTGAGGCAGTGGTGCCATGCTGTGCGGTATACAGCCACATAAGTGGATTCATTGGTCACTGAGATGCAGTTTGATTTGACTGACCACAGATCGTGGGTGATGCAAAGAGGAAACTGTTACGTACACACATACCCGTAAAGGTTTATTGTTTTAAAAAATATCACTTCAGTATTCTATGACAATCAAAATAAATGCTGAACACAAATAAATAAATAAATAAATCTCCCGGGACATCACTGCAGAAAAGAATTGAAACAAAGTCTTTGCACTGTACAGTTCATGGTTATCAACAAATGAAACGTCTGAGCTCTTAGAGCTACCTACCTACCTCAACATTAGATACAGCACTTAACCAAGATATATAAATTTACTGTACATTTTGTTATAAATTATCCTTTGTGGCTTCCAGCAATAATGTCTGAATGTACAGCCAGGGATTACCAGACACCACTGTTGTGTTGGGTACAAAATGTGGTCTGTTATTTTAACTTGTAATAAGATGGGTTCATTCAGGATTTCATACACAAAATCAACTTAATTCAGAAGAAGTTAACTTTTTAAAAACTTATTTCCATCTCACTCGATTACATGGAAACCAGTCTTTGGTGGGTCAGCACCCCCACTCCCCCTCCCCCATGAAAGATTTTGTTAACATGGCATCAAACTGGAATATTAAAAAAATTCTGATTCCTGCTCACAACTGCCACCACACTCTGTCCTACAGACAAAAAGGCAGAACACTTTACGTTAATCTGGGCCATCGGAACTTCAGACCAGAACTCTACTGTTATGAGTATTTAGGTATGCTAAAAGCACCGACTTCCTTTACAAACCTGCAAGTCCACCGTATGTGTCATTACAGTCCCTGAAAGAGCACATTTACTTTGATAGGTTTGGTGCAATTAATACAACTAATCTTACTAGGGTTTAAATGGATGTTTATGTCACTATGCAATCTAGTTCTCATTTCAATGAATGAGGTTACTCTCCACATAGCAGGATTAAAGTAAGCCATGCAACTGAGAAATTACATGGGCATATATCCCATTAAGTTTGTTTTGAACTAGACACTAGTTTTGTCTTCCCATTTTCAAGCCTCAATTGGTATCCCCAGATCACCATTTTCTTTGATTTGGTATAGGATTCAGCACTGAGTGTTCCATTTCCTCCATGCCCAATTGCAGAAAACAAAACATGAACAAGGGGATTCAAGCCTCAATAGAAAACCTTATTGATGGATAAATTCTATTATACGCAAGTACTTAACCCTGCATATTCCCCAAAACAAGACTGTTTTGCACTGCCCTCAATACAAGGATTTCTCTACATAAAGAGGATCCTGGGCTCTATAATCAAACACTCAATTTTGAGGCAAGGTCTAGCTGCAGTGCACTCACTGTCAACAAGTTCACATATCCTATCAGTGGGCTGCTACATCATGTTTGAACCCATCTCTGTTGAGATTTGTTGATTCACAGGAATTCCAGGAGGCAATACTCCTAAGCTACTATTTCTCATTCAACAGGATATGAACAGACTCTACCAAAGTGATTGACCCAGAACTGATTTCAGTCCAGATGGGAAGAGGGATCATAACTGAATGTAAAGAGGTAAATTTAAACGTGAACAACTGATTACACTGAAACTCACGGTCTTGGTGAAACATTGCCGCGGTACTGTAAGTACACTGTTCATCACCATAGGCGATGTCGGCAGATTGTCTTACCAGAAGTGTGAGAGCTTATGAGTTCTGAGTGATAGTGTGGCCACTGTTTTAATTAAACCATGATCTCCCCCATCAGCATATATTGGAAAGGTTGGGCATTTTAGGACCATCTAGCACGTCACTTTAGGAGGTGCCTTGCCATCAAACTGACTACATTGAAAAAGCAGGATTTAAGGATGCTAGTTACTAAGCTACATTGAAGGTACAAACAGAGTTTGTACAGGGAAGGCACAAACCAGGTTTGTTGGCATAGCCTGAAAACAATGTCAAACAGAAACAAACACTAAAACCATAAAGCACTTTATACAGAAAGGTAGGCCCAACTGATTTGAGTAGATAAATCATCCTCAAACTGAGCCCCTCTGTCCAAGAACCTGAGAAGTAAACAGAGGTAGTTGACTCCATTAGACAGGACACCCCCGCCGAGACACCTTTCTCTACACATTTTCATGTCTTGGGAGGGAGAAAGTGAAGGAAGAAAGAACAGGCAACTGTCACTCACTGGTACCTCACCTATTTGGTCAATACTCATGTGTCCAGTCTATTTGACTAGACACCTGTATATGGGCAGTTGGTGACATTGGACAATAGCTATGAGTGGGAACCTGGGCTTGGTTTTCCCTTCTATAACCTGGAGCACTGACAACACTTACAGCACCTTTACTGCCGCTCTGGCCAAGACCAGCACCAACCAGGAACCGAGCTCCGCAGCCTTCAGTCTCTGTGGCTCAGCCACTTGTACATAAAACATACTGAGCCACGCTCTACCTTACCAGGAAACCTTCAAACACGTACTTCTTCTCCAACAGAATGAATAAAGAAACTCTACTTGTTAAGGGTTTGAATTTTTTTTCCCCCATCAACTAGTCACTTTGGAAAGACATTTGCCACTGAAGAAGAAGCATAGGAAATGGTGGGGATAGACTAAAATTACGTCCTATGGTGAAAATGTCCTTGGAAACTCACTGGGATACAACAAAGTGTCGAAGCCTGCGTGGCATGATTTGTGAGCCTGTGTTCCCTGAATCAAAATCTCTGCATCCCTGACAATCCAACCAGTGTTCAGATGCTGCTCTAGCCCCAAAGTTCAAAGAAAACACATCATAATCCTTACAGGAAACTGACCTGGTAATACCCTGGTGGTCTACACGACAATACCACAATACAAAGCCTCAGTAAATTCAACAACTTTATGTACTATTCTCCCCAATATATTCATTCATTGCATTCATGAATGCATTTCTTCCAAGTTATTATCATGCCCAGTTCCTTCCTTCATACAAAACCGGATTACTAGTTAAAACAACTTAAACTTTGCAAGGGTGGGCAGCCAGAGGGACTTGAATTAGTGCTAACACTTGTCTGACATGGGCGTTAGGAGCCTAATAATGGTCAATATTTGGGGCTCATTCAGGAGGAAAGGATCATACACATTGAACCAAACACTTTAACCTTTTTGCTTTTTTTTTTAAAATCAACTTTTCTACACGGATCCATGGCCGGAGGAGTAAGAGAGGGAGAAGAAAAATGTCGCTCCATAATCCTCTTTTTAAAAATTGTGGCAGAATTAGATGAGACAGTGCTGTGGTCGAATAGAAGCCAACATCTTTTTTCTGCGCAAAGCCAGATGTGGAACGGTCTTCCTGAAACTTATGCAAACTTTAAAGCGGCGATTTAGCCAGAAAATCAGAAATGTGCGCAGCAAAAGAAATCTGAAGTGGAACTTTGTACTCATTGAAACCAATTCTGCTAGTCTGAGTTTCGGGCAGTATTCAGAAAAGGCAACCCAACTGGACATTAGGGTAAGGATCACGGCTCCCAGCAGCCTCAGATTTGACAGTCCTGTTGGATCAGTCTGCTTTTCCAGTTGTATGGCTTACCTTGCATATGCAGATAATAATGAAGAATCCTTCTCTCTTAACATGTGCAAGTCTTTTCCATCAAATTAATAGCAGGTTTGTACAGTCACAGCTAAAGTGACAGTACCCTGCTTTGGATTCCCATTTGGTAGTAGACTAGGACTTCCTGTGGGTGTTCAGTTGTAACTTTCTCAAGAAAGTAGATAGCTCTAGACATCCACAGATGAGTCATGTTATTTTTTTGTTGTTGTCGTGTGCAAATCCCCCCTCCCCTTAAAATGGGTTGGGATTGAAACCTAGATATTGATATTAAAAATGAATACTGCCTTTTTAAAAGAAACCATTTATTAACTTTCTGAAACTGTTAGTTTAGAAACATCTTGCATTTGTAAATAACACCCAAAATGGTATGCAATATAGAGGAACAAACCCAAAATTTTAAGATTTTATTTACAAAGCGTTTGACTTACATAAAGTAAAAATTGATGCTATAACCTCTCTGTAACAGGCAGCCATTTACAAACATGACTATCCAATCTTCTCATCTGCTCTTGTTGGCTATGGAAATTGTCTTAGCAGTTAACCTAAGAACCCCAACATAATAAAAGCACTGGACCAAATTCTACCCAGTTTCACTACTCCGTGTGGGTTTTGCAATTGGGATTAACTGTATTTATAAATATATGGAATGTCAGAGGACGGCGACCGCTGGCTCTGTGATATCCAGTGCTCTTTCCCACAGTGTTGTGCAGATCCTCAACAGTCGCAAATCCGGGAGAGGGGGGATGGGGTCGTACAGCCCATCCAATACTAAATAGTCTTTTAGGTCACTTGGATTCTTATTTTAATCATCTTCTTCGTCCCCTTCGTCATCTGTGTCTCGTTTTCTCTTCTCACCTTTAGGGTTTTCCTCCTCTTCCTCTGTAATGACAGCAATTATTCCAGCAATTATTTAATTCAGCGTCCACGCAACAAACCACGTCGCGCGTACGAAGACAACAGACAACCCTGTTTGGTTTTGTTCAGTTTACAAGAGCAGCCTTTGCCTACTGAAAAGTGACTGCAAATCGTTGCTCGTGTGTCTTCCTACCAGCTACAGTGAAGATATATACTTCCTTGCGTTGAACATAATGCTCGTCGCATCAAAACATCTCAAAGAGCTTCAAATGTATTGAAGTAGATTAAATATATTTATAGACAATTTTGACACAGCAAGGCACATAAACAATGATAATGTTGATATTGCATCAGGAGAACATCTCAAAGTGCTTAACAGGATTTAATGTAAAGTGTGGCGACTGTGTATCTTGTAGGCTCACTGGATCAGCTCAGTATCTGCAATGGATACTGTTTTCCAGTAAACTGAAGAAAATTGGAAAGCTTCATGAACTTTGCACCTCATTTCTTGCTATGCCAACCCAACAAAGTTTATACAATAAATTCATATTAAACCCGCTACCGAGACTTAAAACCCTCACAATGAAAAACATAGGGTTCAGAAATGCAGTATTCCGAAATACAATCTGTTATTTAATTAAAAATGGTCATTAAAATTAATTTTGAAATCACCCCCCTACCCTCCAACAATTGAATGGTGGTGTTGCCCAAAAGTTAACTGAAACATTTTTGAGCATTTGTCTTGCCCGATTTCTGTTTAGCGAGAGTTGTATATGAAGCAGTGGTTCAAGTGCCACGTTACAGGCTTGTGTGTTATAGACTTTAGTTTATTAGATATGTTTTAAAATGGCATTAAAAGACCATAATCTAACCTAAAGATTCAAAACAGCTGACTAGAAAATGAAGAACTGGGCATGTTTAGAGTCAGCAGTGACTGCTGCCTGTCACTCCCGGTGCCCACGTCACTGCAAAGGTTGCGATGCACGGAATACTACCCTAACTCAGCACACTAGCAGGCATTCTGTGCATCCCTGGATCTGGCTAATGATCATCCAGATTAATTGGAGGTATTCACCTTCTTGTCGTTTGAGGGAACCTTACTGCTGTAAATGGTTGGTTACACGCTTGACAGGATTCCCTTGTGAAGTGCTCAGAGATGTTTTCTACATGAAGATGTGCTCCGCAGAACGTTTATCACATTTCTTTACTGGCTCATGATTTTTTTAAAAAAAAAACACACTAACATGACTAACAAAATGAACAGAAATGGTGAAGTACCTTCCTCCTCCTCATCATCATCATCATCGTCATCATCAGCCTCACCATCCTGTATGTAAACCTCCTGTAGTGGAGAGAAATGTACTGTTAGATATTGGGACAAAGCAGTTCGGCAGATCGCAGCAAAGTAAACTTTAGAGAGAAATGGCATTTCACTGCATTACATACAGCTGGCCTGTCATCCCAGTTTTTAACAAAATAACCCACACATCTTCCAAACGCAGGTAGAATTGACTGGACGTTATTTAAGTGAACAATTCTGCAGAGAGGAAAGCAATTCAATTTTCAAAGCATTTCCCCTAGCTACAGAAGAAGCACCTCCTTATATAATTAAACGTTACCTCCAGCAAATAACTCTTACTTTCCAGCCGTCAAATCCTCCAGTAAACAAGCTGCAAGGAGAATCCCAATAACTAAAACACATCTCTATTTGCGTTAAAAGTGACAGCGCTTTGAACTGGTGTGGGTGCCATCAACCCTGTTAAATTAAATGGAACCGCTTCAGGCCAAGCCTGTCTCCTTGCTATAATATCTCTCGATGGAGAAGAACCTGAAGTGGGCCAGGAGGATATTTTGATAGAGGCAAAATGAAGTGTTATAAGGAGGCAATTTTCTTAGGGTTGGGCTGAGTAAAAAGAGTGGGGGGTAGGGGAGGGAGAGAAAGGAGTAGGAAGAAGATATTTTGAACATAAAATAAAATGCTCTCCTAGATTTGCTTTCTTCAAATAGATGTCTATTGCCTGGGTTTTTGATCTTTACTCTACCTATTCCCCAGTCAATCTTTCCTATTGCTGTACACCAATGTTACATAATGTTAATTATTAATTAGTTAATGAAATCTTCCCCTCCCCAAACAACTGAATGGAGGTGATGCCCAAAGACAGGTGATTGCATAATGTTGGTAAATTTACTCACATTCAGAGATACCACCAAGAGATACAAATATACACCTCCATTATTGCACATTACCAGCATAGGGCAGTGACATTCAGAATTCTCATCTCTGATTGTTTTATACTGGGTTTAGAGGTACATTTTAATTAGCAAGTAGATGGATCAAAAGCAACTTTCTCAAGGAGAACCTTAAATTCTTAAAACCACACAGTTTCCATCTCTACGGGCAAACTTAAGTTTTATCAATTCAGGTCTCACCTCGTCCTCTCCACTTACATCGTCTTCATCTTCCTCTCCTTCCTCCTCATCTTCATCTTCCTCATCATCAAATTCTTCTTCACCATCCTCTTCCTCCTCATCATCTTCCTCCTCCTCCCCTTCTACAGAACATCAGAAACCTAGTTTCACATTGGTTCAAAGTGTACTGCACGCAGCGCTCCAAGACGCAATGAACCCCACATTAATGCAAGTTCATAAATAAAGAAATGTAAGTTGTTGTAAGTCAAAGAGACCAGGAAAGTCGGTCTCGCTGCCTGGTGTCAGTCAAGACAGCAGCGTCGATACAATGGCTTGGCCTCAGTATCATGAAGTACAGCTGTTGGGACACAGTAGTGAAGAGCTACCTGTAGTAGCCTCAATCCACGATTGTTTGTAGGACACTGCTGTGCGCAACTGGCTGCTGCTCAACAACGTAATAAGGCGCTATATCAAATGCAAGGATTATTAATATTATTATTATTCGCAGCAAGAAACTGGGTGTGTACATCCCATTCCTTAATGCAGAGGCCAAGGATTATTGAGCAGTATAAACTGGGCCCGACTCAAGTCATGGTTGGAAAACTTCTCAGAGCAATTAGTTTAAAATATGAATCCATAGATGATGGGGTTGTATGCAGCAAAAACCTGACGAAACCCTCCTAGAACAGAGTGGAATCATGAACTGAAGCAATATTGTTGTTGTTTGTTCAACCAACCTACTGCACTGGAGGCCCATAATTCCCCAAGTCTCAGCCTTTAATAGGATAATATATAATAATCCTTGCATCTGATATAGTGCCTTATCATGCCTCCGAGACATCTCAAAACGCTTCACAGAATATACTGTACAGTGAATTGCCTGTATATTTTGTGGATGAAAAATCATTGTCTTAAAAAAAAGTCATGGAGAATTTTGGAAAATCCTTAAATTTCAATCTCAATGTGGAAGCTGGTTTTCCTACCTAAGACTGAATTTAAGCCTTTTCCTGTGCAAGTCCCATGCAAGTCCATATCTTTCATTTTAATAATGATTTCAAGGCTGACACCTTCAGAAATTGCAGGTCTCACGTTGGACAACAAACCGAATGGCATTTCAATGCTTTTCTGTGATAGTAACAATATGGTACTTTAAATCAATATGATCTGATCAGGTTTTGACTCTATCCAAAGAGATAAGAACTGAAAGCATGATTAATTGTCATGCCTCAGGTCTGTGTTTATAAGCATTCAGTGGAGATGAAGAGTTCTACGCAATTTAGAATGACCAGGATAATCAAGAATATATTTGAATATCCACTACTGGATCTGATTATACCCTTAATTACAATTTGAATTGGCTGTAATTTAAAAAAAATCAACAGCTTTACCTTCATCCTCATCCTCGTCATCTACCCCGTCACCATCGCCTTCCGCGTCCGAGTCAGGCGCTTCCCGGTCTTCCTGGTCATAACCGTCCAGGTATGTCAGCTGCGGGAGGAGCTTGAAGACACTTTCCCTATAGTCGTTTAAGTTTGTCACCTCACAGTTAAAAAGATCCAGGCTCTTCAAGTTTTCTAGTTTCTTCTGCAAACAAAATATTACAGTTGAGCATGCTAGGAACGCAGGAACAGGAGTCAGCCATTCAGCCCCTCGAGCCTGTCCTGACATTCTATTCGATCATGGCTGATCTGTACCTCAACTCTATTTACCCGCCTTTGCTCCATATCCCTTGATACCCTGACCTAACAAAAATCTATCCACCTCAGTATTGCAAATCTGAATGTACCCGACATCCTCAGCCGTTTGGGAGAGAGTTCCAGATTGCCGCTGCCCTTTGCGTGAAAAAAGGCTTCCTGATTTCACTCCTAACTGGCCCAGCCAATGTTAAGATTGCATCCCCTTGTTCCGGATTCCTCAACCAGGGGACATAGAATCTCTGTATCTACCTTATTGAATCCCTTTATCATTTTAAACACCTCAATTAGATCACCCCTGGGTAGGGTGGACCACGAAGGAGAAAGGCATGAGAAGAGAAGCAGAAATCTGTTTTGAGGGTTCCTTTTAGCCTGAACAATGACTTCACTCCCTGCTCAACCATTTCAGAAGAGCGTTAAATCTGTGAGTTCCTGGAAAGAAGCATTTTTAAAAAAAATTGCTTTGGATTACATTTAAATTCTAAACTTAAAACTGGAGGGTTATAATACAAAACTTTTGTTGTATTTTCTGCATCTCCCTCTCAATGGGAAGTGAGATTTTCTCCCCTGTTTCCTGGCCAACAATCCTCAAAATAAAATTGGACATTCACATCATGGCTGTTTTTGGAACATTACTGGGCGCAAAGCGGCTACCATTTTCGCCTAGAAAATATACAGATACGGCATGTTTCGATGAATCCTGCAAAGCACTTTGAGACGTACTCCCAACGTGAATAATACTACCTCAGATGAAAGGATTATTATTTAAAATATTGTCAAAAAAGCTTAAGTACATCAGCTCGGAAATGTTTCTGAAAGTAGGTTTGATCACATACATCCTTTGGCGATAGGCGGGGAAAAAGCATGCAAGGTACAAGATGCAGCCACTAGCATATTTATAATTAGTATGCACCACGTCCAAATTTAGATTTATGTTGGCGATAAGTTATTTGATGAATGTAAGAGCATTCAAGCTAGAAGGTGCACACTTGCAAATCCATTGACTGCTTTTTTTAAATACATGAAAAAAAGACACAGCAAATTGTCACCTACCACAACACCCACAACCAGCATCAGGTGCAAAGACAATTAATGTCACATGAAATAGGTTTAGACAACAGAGGGGGAAGAAGCAAGTACCAGAGGCTCCAGTGTGCTGATGTCTTTGAGTTTGTTTCCACTGAGGTTTAGATGTGTGAGATTTGGAAGCTTTTCCGCCAAGACGTCGAGCCCTCCAGAAATTCGGTTATCGCTGAATTCAAGCTAAAACAAAAAAAAGCACATTGTGAATAAAAAGTCATTTAAACAATTGCTTTACAGATGACTGATGTGATGGATGCTAGAGGCCACAAGTCTCCCCTGCATAGCACACCTCACAAAGTCTTGGAACCCAATAAACACTCCCAGTAGGAAGCCATAAACACAATTCTAGGCACTAAAACAGCTACGAAACTTCACCAATGTCTTGCTTTAGTAAAGACAGTGCATAGCGTGAAAATGGAACTGTACAGAACTTTAAAGCCTTTGCCTGGCCAGCAGTAAAGGGCCTTAAAAACCTCTGACCTGGACTGTAAAATCAACCAGGGTTATTGCTTTTGATCTGACATGTGCACAATGATAAACAGATAAGAACAAGCTTCATCTCTGCTGTGATGGTTCGTCCCACAGTCCAACAATCTGATAACAACCTAATAATAATAATCCTTGCATTTGATATGGCGCCTTATCACATCTTTGAGACATTTCAAAGTAGTTCACAGAATAGTTCACAGAATATACTGTAAAGTGAATTGACTGTATATTTTGTGGGCGAAACTACAAAAACAACCAACTTTCAGATCATCAGGTCACCAGGCATATCACTTCCTGTGTGACGTACACATGCACTATATGCAAAAAACAAAACTACTGAGCAGGTGAATTCATATTTTCAATTTTAAAATTTAAAAAAATATATATTTTGGCTCTTTTTCCTTTACGGACTCTGCATCACAGTAACCAATCTACCCCCAATCCTCCCGCGCTGCTCTGCAACTAAGCACTGAGAGTTAGATATCTCAAAAGTCAATATCCTCGCTCCTTACAAATGTTTGCAGCCACAGCTAACTGGGCCCCTGTGAGTAGATGAGCTACGGAGAGAGAAATTGAAGCGGAAACTTTGGCGCTGGGTCCTATTGCTCCGTAAAGCGCCAGGTCACTAGCCAACCTATAAACAGGGCACATCCTCTCCCTTCCCACGTGAGTATTGTAACATACACTACAACGTCAAATTGCCAAGAAGGTTACTCTTTAGTAAGCAGTCAAGCTATCCACTCTTCATTAATATTGGGGTCTACCACAATTTAGAAATGCACAATGTTCCTCCCTCACACTGTTCTCATCAGATTGTCCGTGAAGTGGGTCACATGTTCAACTTCCGAATTGTGGATTGAGGCTTTTTACTAAACACAAAGCTCAAGGGAAGATACAATCCCACTAAATAGCAGCTGAATGGGTGATCTGGCTTCGTGGACTTTGAGAATGGGAATGGTGTTGGAGCTGGGATAGGTGGGGGTGAGGGGAACAGAAGTTTCACCACTGGAACATCTCTGGTCAAATTGGAAACTCTAAATTTATGCTATAAAAGACTCCCATCAAGAATAGAAACTTATACCGTCACAAAAAGAAACCTAAAGGCTATTTGGACAATTGTGAGGCTAATCTACTTAATATTTGTGGTTCTGTAGTTACGATGAACTGTGGTAAAACAAGGCTGCACATTACTGTGGAGTCCTGTAGCTCAGTGGTTAGAGCACTCGCTTTGCAAGTGAGAGACCTGAGTTCAATTCCAGGCAGAGGGCGAAACCTTGAGCAAGTTTCCTTACTCCACACAGAGCCTAATAATAATCCCTCCAAAACCAAAAACAATAATAAAAATTGGTCTTTTTCAATCTACGACTGTTTGTGGGACATTGCTGTGCGCAATTGGCTGCCGCGTTCGCCCACAAATATACAGTCAATTCACTTTACAGTGTGTTCTGTGAAGCGCTTTGGGACATCCTCCCGACGTGAAAAGCGCTATATCAAATGCAAGGATTGTTATTATTATTATAGAACCTTTACATCGGGTGGGCACCTCAAAGAGCTTCACAGGATTTACTGTGAAGTGTGGTGACGTGTGCATTTGTAGGCGAATGCACCAGCCAATCTATACTCACCAACGTCCCACAAACAGCCATGAAATGAATGACCAATTTTATTTGGGAGTTTGTTGGCTAGGACACCGGGAGAAACTCCCTTCTCTTTTCAAGCAGTGCCAAGGGATCGTCAATGTCCGCCTGAACAGGCAGACAGGGCCTCGGTTTAACATCTTATTTGAATCAAACAGAACGAACATTTTCTGTAAAAAGTCTGCTAACGCAACTTAATGAAAGATAAACAAATGTTACCCAGGGGGTGTTTACACAAAAGCTGTTGCAGGGAGTTGGATATCAATTCCAATAGCCATTAATATTTAACAATGTTCATTTGGTTGGCCGGGTGACAAGAATTTGCACACATAATATAGGAATGCACAGGATTGGAACAGCCCAATGTGGCCCATGTGGCTGGTTCCCAGGATCAGGTATTTCCCTCTCAGTCAGGGAACAGTCCAGGGTTAGAATGCGAAAACCTCAAAATGATGGATGACGATTAAATGCTCAGCAAATCCAACTTGTGAATGAACCAGCAGTCTTGCCATAGGGCACCTGAGTTTGCCAGGCTAGGGCACCTGGGTTTGCCAAGCTAGGGCACCTGGGTTTGCCAGGCTAGGGCACCTGGGTTTGCCAGGCTAGGGCACCTGGGTTTGCCAGGCTAGGGCACCTGGGTTTGCCAGGCTAGGGCACCTGGGTTTGCCAGGCGCATCAAAAACAGACCAAGGAAGTTGGTCGGTGCCAGCCAGCCTGGCTCATCGGCAGGCCCTGGAAGGGCAGACCAGTCCCTGGGGGCAAAAAATTATCACTCAGCTCCTGTTAACCCTGCAAGACAAAGTCCTAACAGGTAGGGCAGTCCTAGCTGGACAAGAAGCAGGAAAGCTTGCCAGACAGCAATATCAATGGCAAACTATGCAGTTTTAGCTGGGTAGAATCCAGTTGTACCCCAACACACACACTGGGGTCCCCAAGCCTTGGCTCTTACCAACCTAACACTTTCCAGAATTGGGTAAGCAGGATATCGGGATATGTCTCTCCAGGGAGAGAGTGCACATTCCATTCCAACAATCTATCTCTGGGATTTCCGTGTGTGGGTGGGATGCATGGAATTCTCAGTCTGGTTTGGATAGTCTTAAGCATGGGAATGGGTTCCCACACATGTCAGACACCTACCAGGCTGACCAAAAACAAAAGATGCCACGGTGGCCTCACAGCCCAAAGGACTGAAAGATCCTTAAAAGATCAAAGACAGGCTTTGGCACAAAGGCTGTTCAAAAGTTAGTTAACTATGTTGATTCATCCTTAACATTAATTGAGACTACCTGTGAAAAACGGCAAAGAACCAAACGAATGAACTGGCACAACAGTTCAGGGTATACTCTGAATGAGATGAGAAAAGCTGCCCACAACATCTACAAAGTGATCAAAGTCATGTTACCACCGTGTGTGTTTTTTTGCACAGTGCACTGTCCAACAGCTGAAACATGTGGAAGGATGATGATTGATAATTGTATTTAGAAGGACTTAGTTGCATTCAGTACCAGTGTTTAACTAGATTTAGACGTCCAGAGGATCGGTGTGTGTGAGCGCCATCATTTTCATGGCAGATAATGATCCGTTGCCATGTTTGCAAAATGCATGTCTGACAGCTTGTTTCTGTTCCTCTGTAGTCCCATTGTGCTGATTTGTAACAGGGTGTAACAGGACTTTGTGGACACCCTGTACATCCATATCTCCTGCACATCTCCTCAGAGAAACCATGCACCAATCTTTCTGGATCTCGAATAATTCAGGTCTTGATTCCTGCACAGCATTAACAGGCAAGCAAACAACTGACAAAAGGAGATTGTGGACAAGTCTTTTCAACTTGTGCATCGATTGAAGCTCAATAAACTCTGCAAGAAGACCAAACTCTTGATCCACAAGTGGATTTTATTTTGCTTATTTTTAAGATCAGAAAGATGTTAGGTGTTAGAATATTTACTCAGTTTAATATTGATCACCCGCTATCGGGAGGTATTGCTGTAGTTAAGCAGCAAAGGTTGACGGGAAAAGAAAAAGATCAGAGTGGGAAAGGGAGAGAGAAAAGAGGAGGGAAAAAGAGAAAGAAACATAGGAATGAGCGAAGATAAAAAGTTGGGGAGAAGGAGAGAAAAGAGGAAAACTGAGGTGAGGGAGAAAGCAAGAAGTTTGAAGCGAGGGAAGAGTTGAAGGGAGGAAAAGAAGCAACAGAGGAACAAGGGGAAAGATAAATATTAAGTGGATGCAGTTAAAAAAAAGTATACAACATCAGATATAGGATAACTATCACTAAATAAGAGTAAGATAAGAATCAGATTAAAGCTCACACTACAGTACATTTTAAAATCAGAAAAGGTCAACTTGCTGACAGCTGCTGAAAGCAGCATTGAGAGAAACTCCAGCAGCAGAGCTGAGGAGACGGATTTTCACTGTTGTAAGCAGCTTTCCTGTCGCTGTTTGTAAGGTTGCTGAGGCAATAAAGTCACGTGGCCTTGACACATTCTTTATTCTTCACTACACTGAGAACAAATGCTATATTTTTGGGTCATATCCAAGATTTATTTTGAAAAAAGACACAAAATTGATTTCTCGCTAAAGGCAGTTTCAACAATGTGGAAATATAAGGGTTGAATGCATTTCTAGTCTAGTAAATGTACTACACAAAATTTTTAGTTCATTTTATTTTGCGATTAAATCCTTTCTTTTGCCCCCTCCCCCCCCCACCAATGCTCAACTCTTTAATTATTGTTCTTCATGACTTGCTTTAAAAGAACAAAAACACACCAAATGCCAAAACCAATGCTGTTTTGTAGCATTTCAGTTAAAAAAACGTATTTCTCAGAAAGCAACACAGGACGTTAACAGTACTCTGCTTCATCAAGATCTTCCAATTAATGGTCTTGCACAGCAGTACCTCAAGGGATAGTTTCACATCTATTTGATAGTTCATTCAAGAGTCTCTCAGTATTAGACCCTTCAGCTTCCCCATACCCCCTCTCTCCAACCCTCAAAGAAACCATCATGTCCAACCCCAGTGATATGAAATCACTGATATCCGGCGGTAATAATCCCTTCTAAAAAATAATAATAATTTGGTCAATCAATCCATGAATGTTTGTGGGACACTGCTGTGCGCAATTGGCTGCCACGTTCTGCCCACAAAATGTATAGTCAATTCACTTCCCAATATATTCTGTGAAGCGCTTGGGCCGCCTGGAAGGCGTGATAAGACGCTATATCAAATGCAAGGATTATTATTATTATTATATTTATTATTATGAAATAAGCACCTCACTTATTACATTGCTTAGCTCTGATGGAAAAAAATAATTCATGACAAACCACCTGACAAGCACTCACCTTCTTGAGTTTGGGAAGGCGGGGGAGATTCGTAACAGAGGTCAGTCCCACATTTATCAAGCTGAGGAACTCGAGATTCTCAAACTCTGCTGTCAGACCTTCTATTTTACCCTCGTTCGACCTGCAATTGTCGAGGACCAGCTCTCGGACCTGAAATAAAGGCAATAATCAGCAGTCAGATCCCACCGCAAAAAACAAACAATAAAAATCCCTTACATTTAAGCAGCTTCCTCAAAGAGTATCTGTTCCGCAACCAGGCCTCCAGGATCACTTCAACGCTCACACTGTTTACGCTCGACTTGCAACAAAGGGCCAGTAAGAAAATACTGCAGCTCATAAAGCTCAGGACGTTTTTCTATATTTCTTGGCAATGACCTCTAGTTATACGTTTAATACAGAGCTCATGACTTCAACTTCATAACTTTGGCAGCCCCTCAAAAATAAATTTCTGCCCGACACGTATACAACGTAACCCGTTTCCCAAAAGATGGAACCCATTTCTTAAGCTACCAACAAACTCAGGAAGACGAATCAGTTGGAGGCGACACCGTTTCATTTACTCTAACGCAGAAGTAATAAAAGCCAGCAGAACGCTCTATTCCAGTTTTTTTTATTACAAATAGTATGAACACGGTGCGCAAAGAGCGTCTTTGGAAAAAAGGCTATAATCCTCGAAGGTCACAAGCGCTGCCTTGCTTCTCAAAGCTGTTCCCACACTGAAACGGAACTGGGCAAGATTCTCCCAACTTGTAACAAAATGATATATAGTCACAGGTTATACAGTACATCTTGCAATTGGATTTGATTTGCAATTTTCACTGTCCAAAAATATCTGGACCAAAAAAACATCACTTGCTAATCAGATACCCTGAATGCAGAAATTGATCCTTCTCGGACCTCTGTGTTCTCGTCCTCTCTCCCCTCCCTAGAATGTGAACTGAAGTCCCATTAGATTTTAATTTATTGAATGTTGCGTGCGTCACGTTTCTCTTGTTTTTTTAGAGGAAGTGTGGGTGGATAGTATGCCTCGCGTGTGTTAAGTAACCCACTTCCTAAATTACACAATATTGTAGAAAATGGATGTGCAATTTTAAAATGGCTTCCCCATCCTTTTCCAAATATGTTGATTTGATTCCACGAAAAAACAATATCAGAAAATGTTCCACTGTAAGCTCTGGTGAATTCGTCAAATCAGTTTTGCGCTGTGCGAATATAAACCTCTCTCGCCGAGCAAGTGCATTGGTTCTGCATCAGTGCTTTGCAAAAAAAAAAGTGCCACAGTTTGGTGGAAAGTGAATATCGGCAGCAAAGATGCATCATTTTGCATTTCTTTATCCCAAGGACTCTTTGGATTCCAGAAGCAGTATTCCCTGCGATCCAGGAAGCAGTGCCTTGGGTATGTTTATCCCTCAGCAGCCTCCGGCCTGCTCCATGTCCCCACACCGACCACCCCACCATCGGAAGTCAGGCCTTCTGCCTCTCTGCCCTCACTCTTTGGAACTCCATCCCACAATCCCTTCGCCTCTCCCTTTCCCTCATCTCCTTCAAGGCCTGTCTTAAAACTCACCTCTTTGACCCCTCCTTCGGTCACCTCTACCCCTACTCACACTGATCCCAATCCCTTGCACGGGGTCCAAATCCCTGACTGTCCAGGACCTTGGGACGTCCTCCTGATGTCAAATGTAATTTATTGTTCCAGTGACGAGGAACGATATCTTATTTTAGAGATCCGTAAACCGTGCCATGGACTTTGTGAATTCGCTTGGAGTAGGGAGAGAATGAATAGAAGTGAGGAAAACTAATATTGATTGACGCAGCCTGCCCTTTTTTTAATGCACTGTTTCGCGAATAACTGGATAGAAAAGCTTTGCAGACAAATATTTGGTAACTAAAGAAGTTCGAAATCGCCCCTTGCCACTCCACTCACCGCCCACAAACTTTAAAAAAAAAACCACAAATATTCTTAAATGATGAACAGATAAATGGTATAAAGTCAAATGCAGGAACATTTTATACAAACACCGCTTGCAGTTTTGCTATAAAACTCCCTCTGCACAATCTCTTTCCTAAAGCATGATCTTGAGAAGATTTTGATAAACCCACAATAATTTATCGCTGAGCATGAAGGCATTTGAGGCCCCAGACAGAAACTTTTTTTCCCCAGCCGACTTTTAACCACAGATGTTCAGTGTCACAGATGGATAATAGATTTTTTTTTGGAGGGGAGGGGAGGGGTTGAATGGAGTGCCGGGGGGTGAGGCTCTGATTCTACATCACAAACTGCTGCGCAAATACTAGTCATTTCCGTTCATGCAAATGAAATCTGCTGTTGCCATCCCAGGCAGATGGGGTGGGAGGGGGTTGGGCAAAGGAGAAAGAGTGGGAGCCCGTCTAGAGGATGAAGCTCTGGAGCTAATATTAACTGGGGAACATTTGAGTCTGAAGCAGAATTTAAAACAAGAAGTCGGGCTGAATGATCTGCATCGGAGCATCTCACGCTCTTCAAACTAAGCTGCTTGCTGCTCCTCAGAGAGTAGCAGTCATTACAAGAGGATGTCAGCTTTATAGCTCAGTGGCAGAATATTGATGGCACTTCAAAACTAACGCGATGGAAAAGCTTGAATTGCATTCATTCCTATTTCCACAGCCCAGGACAGGCAATTTGAGCATCTCTTTGTATGTAATATGAGTTGATCGTATATCGAACCACTTCTCAGGCCACTATTTTAAGGAAAATAACCCTGGGCATTGCTTCTCCAGTAGCCCAGTGGCTAAATGCACCTTATTGTGGTTCAGACAGAAGCAACAAGAGAAAGACTCGTCTTGGAGTCATAAGGTTGAGGGTTCAAGCCACGAATCTGGACTTTGAACTCAAAAGATTCCATGGCACAGTTTGAAAAGAGAAGGGAGTTTCTCCCAGTTTCCGGCACACAATCCCCCAGATAAAATTGGTCACTCGCTTCATGAAGGTTTGCGGGTAATTGCCATATGCTGCCACGTTCACGAACAAAATATACAGCAGCTAATTTACAGGTAATCTTGTGAAGCACTTTGAGACGTCTTCCAAAGTGAAGGGCACTATCAAATGCAAGGCTTATTATTAATATTAATACACAGAACTCCCAGATCCTGAAGGAAAGTTCACCAGATCACCCAAGGATAAAGAAAAGAAGCCAAAGATATTGGGCATCAGAACGTGAATGCTAACAGTCAAACAGTGATCAGCGATCACCACTGACCTTAGACCGAACTTGTGTAAGTGCCCACTAAACGCGCCACATTAACACCTTCATAGTGGGTCAGTCCAACTTAAGACTCAGATCGTATTCTGTTGGAAAGATTTAAAAAGGTCCTTTGCCCTTAGACATCCCTTGTGAAAAATAAAGATGCAGCCTGCAAAAGACATGGTTCATAAACAAGACAGAGTGAGAGCATTGTAAAATCGGGTGTGTAATTCACACAAACAGAGACTCACTGTCTCTCGGTACAGCAGATTTCTACTCTAGTGTGAGTCACGTGACTTCTTAAGCGGTGACAAATGTAAACAGGGAAGAAGCATTCATATGTCTCGCACCTCACTACAAGTGAGGACTGTCCAGGTCATAGTACTGCATTGCATAGTGCAATCTGACCGGTTCTTGATGCCTCACTGTGCTTGCAGCCTGTCTACATCGTGCAGTGTGTCCAGATCATAAAAGAGACCACTCAAAGTCAGATTTTCCCAATTAAATGATGTTCCACCAGATTAATTCCTGATTTCTTCATTCTGTTTCTGGCACAGGGAACCTAAAAGTTGTGGTGCATTTCAGCCCTCTGCGTCTCACTCACACACACATACTTCCGTTATGCTTCTGAAAAAACATGTCAGATTAATTCATGTAACCCAATGCAAATCATCGGTTTCCGAACGGTACTTTCTGAATTTAACTTTGTAGGAACAATTTTTTTTCATCCAAGTGGCATTTATTTGACACTGTACTATAAAATTATTACTGTATTCAAAAAAAGGTAGTTTTTACTCTTGTCCTGGGCAACAATGCCCCAGATATAATTCGTCATTCACTTCATAGCCGTTAGTGAGATGCTGCTGTGCACAAATTGGCTGTGACATTCACCTGAACTATACTTCACAGTAAAAGTGCAAAGCACTTTTTGAGACATTTTGCCAATGTGAAACAGTAAAACTCACATAAAGTCTGAACTTTATAAACTGTATTAATCGACTGAGTCGTACATCTGCCCAGTTCCCGTTGAATTTCCTATTATTTATAAGTTTCACATAACTCATACTTTGCATGAGTCATATTAAGCGTATGGTCCCAACTGATATGACTTATGTGAGGTTTACTGTAGAGCCCTATATTAATTGCAAGGATTATAAAATGTATTCACGGGAATGGCAGAATAGTTTCTTCTCTCTTTCATCCTTCATTCATTTTGACATGAACATCTCCTTTCCTTTTTATGAGGCTACAGTTCTAGAGCTGCTACTATTATGGAGGTGTGGGGTGTGGTGTGGGGGAGAGAGGCAGAATGCGGAGGAAGGGAAAAAGTCATCAAAGTCTGATCCTGTCTCACTTGAAAGCTTGAGAGATCGATGGAGTGAGATTTCCTGACTGATTTCCCCTTGCTAATCTGGAGATGCTGAGCTCAATTGTAACACGTGAATTGCTGACTTGGCCAGTGCGGACCAGGATCTATAACCTTGAGTCTTTACCTAAGCTATTTCATTGAATAAATCCGATAAACAAATAAGAGGAGCCCCACAAGTCATTTTATAACATTTATGACTGCAACCAAAAATTAAACCCCGCGAAATAAATTTAGCCATCCAAGTGCAGTGAAATGAGTCAAAAAAAAATTATTGTGCCTCGGCTTTGCCTCTTGCTATAATTAAACATTTTCAGTTTTTAATATTTTTCAATTAAACAGTTTAAAATTAAGAGGGAAAACTGTGTCCACAAGTGCAGACATCCAGATTTTTATTTAACTGCCCTCGTAATGGGTAAAGGGCTGAGTGGGGCAGGATTCAAACCCACATCCTAAGGGTTAATATGTGGGTGCGATTGTTGGCCTTTGCGGTTGCTGTAGTTTTGTTCTTCATGTTTGTGCTACTCTCCGTTGTGCTGCCCCTGTGGGTGAGATGTTAG